TATATGTACATAGTACATGTTTATGTACATACCTTGTATTATTGTATATACTACTGTTCTGTATATGTACATAGTACATGTTTATGTACATACCTTGTATTATTGTATATACTACTGTTCTGTATATGAGAATCCACATCAGACAGGTAAATAAACAATTCGACTAAAAAAGTAAAATAATAAATGTAAAATAAAAAAAATATTATTGACTTACCTATGCCCTGTCTACTCCAGTGAATCACAAATTTCTCCTAAAACAGAAGTTTGTTTTTAACTTTTCTTCTATTAACAGTTTTCCTGTACAGCTGGCATTTTTATTTTCTCCAGTTTATTGGTTAAAGCATGGCAATTAAAAACTTTCTTAAGTACCAAACTTTTTGCCAAGTTTCAAAATGCCAATATCTTGCATTCTCATTCTCAACTCTTAATATATATATATATGTCAATTGATTTTAGATCTACTTTCGTAGTCAGCCCTAGAAATAATTTTCATCATCGGCCTGTAGACGGGTGAATATATACATCCTAGCTCTAATTTGAATTAAAAACTAGTGAGTTTAGGATCAGAAGACTCAGGCAGAGAAACTTCTTCTCAAACAGTTGATAACACCTTCAGTTTAAAAGTACCTAAAATGATCATCCTAAGTTTTATGTGTCTCATACTTCATATGGAATATATAATCTGAGAAAAACAAAAATTCAAAATGTAAAATATCAAAAAAACATAATATACAAACAATTTTGTAAAAATTAAGTTATAAATGAGCCAGTGCTTTGCAATGAAACACCTGGAAACTCAATATTTATCAAATTTTCGATTGCTTCCAGATGGGTAAAAAATACATCATGACTGGTTGAAACAGATCCACCTATACAAACTGCATTAGTTTGTTTTTTCCAACGTCCAAAAAAGTGCCTTTCAACTCTTAATATGTTTGACTTATCCTAATTTGTATGACAGGAATATCTGAACTTTTTTATTTTATTTTTTGTTTTTATTTCTTTATTGGTTTAATATTTTATTAATTAATTATAGTATATTTTTATATAACAGTCACCTTTGGTTCTACTTCTAACTGGATATCATCAGTTCCTGGACCTAAGTGTTAATAACATTATGAAACCATGTTGTGGGGTTATTTTTTGTGTTTTAAAGTCATGAGAAGAAAGATTAAAAATGAGACACCCAGAGAGAACTGGTTTCAATATGTACGCAGAGTATGCGCAGCTGCAATTAACTTCCCTTGCATTACATTCTTGTTTACAGGGAAGTAAAATCAATCTTATAAAAAGCAAATGTGTGTAGTGTGCATCAATGTTGACCCATTGGATGATTATTATTTAAACAAGACAAATGTAGTTGTTTACCTATAGCACAATCCTCCCCAGAATTTATTTCTAATTTTGGTAATCTAGAAACCGGAGCTGGCTTCTCTTCTTGCTCATTCCACTAAAATATTCGTCCACTCAAAATTATTTTAGATATGTCATGTATTAAAAAAACGGATTTATTATTTTGCATGTAAACATGCGGATTTAAGTGGTTTTGGTTAGTCAATTTTTTCGTACGAGTCGGTTATTGTATGCGTATTCTCCGAAGTGTTAATCAGGAACAGGTTTCTGGAACAGTATCTTAGGTTCAGGAACCATCTGTTGGTTTTGGCTCTGGAACAGAATCTTAGTTTCAGGAACAATCTGCTGGTTTCATCTCTCGAACAATTAATTGGAACAATCTGCTGTTTACGGGAACAGCAATTTTATTATGAACAATACGTTTTGCATTCGTTATGGGGTGTTAATAATCGATACGGTACGTAATTTATCGGTGTCGTTAACGTCATTTCTGCATTCTCCGAACAGTTACTTCTGGAACATAATTCTGGAACAGTACTTTTGAAATGTACTTCTTGATAGGCTGCAATAGTAACTTCTAGTTCGGGATATCTTCTGGAACAGCTTTTCTCAACAGGAACAATATCTGGAACAGTGCTTCTCGACAGGAATAACTGGAACAATCGTTTACGTTTCGTGTATATGACGGACGGACGGACGTTTATATCGTTTGTTACGTGATGACTGCGGGAGTCCAAATTGATGAATACTCCTTCTCTATGGAAGCTTTATCTTCTTCCCGGTGATGGAAACTTAATCAAGGTCCCGCTGTAAACTGAATCTTCTTGTTGATGATGGAAAATCAATCTTTTTGGTGATGGAATAAATTTTGCTCATCATCACAATCACCAATTTATCTGTGCAACATCAAGTTTTTCCCTCGTTTATTTGTAAAATTTTCTTTTGTTTTGGGGCTTTTTTCTTAATTATAATTATGATGCCTTTTGATCATTACTTCTCCCTCTTCTCTCCTAATTTAAGCTTTTTTTCTCTTAGCCCTATTATAATTCATTATATATTTGAATACATTTGTCTCTTACATTCATTATATATTTGAATACATTTGTCTCTTACATTCATTATATATTTGAATACATTTGTCTCTTACATTTATTATACATTTGAATACATTTGTCTCTTACATTAATTATATATTTGAATACATTTGTCTCTTACATTTATTATATATTTGAATACATTTGTCAATTACATTTATTTCAATACATTTGTCTCTTACATTCATTATATATTTGAATACATTTGTCTCTTACATTTATTATATATTTGAATACATTTGTCTATTACATTTATTCTCTTACATTCATTATATATTTCAATACATTTGTCTATTACATTTATTTCAATACATTTGTCTCTTACATTCATTATATATTTGAATACATTTGTCTCTTACATTCATTATAAATTTGAATACATTAGTCTCTTACATTCATTATACATTTGTAAAGAAAATTTTACATGTGTTTTTAATGAATAATTTGGGTATGTTTAGGTTCTAAATGAAGATAAACAAAATCCAATATTGCAGCCTGGTATTATTCTACTAGAGGACCAAGATTGCAGGATATATTGCAAAGAAATTGTGTAACAAAGTTGAAGGCCTTATATCTGAAACCACAACCAGTAGCTGGATTAAACTTAAAAACCGGGAATCACTGTATTTCCCAAGCAAGGAGCTTGTGGAAAGTATTCACCATTATATGAAGAAGTTTTGTCAGGTTACACGGTGAAAATATATGCATGCAACTCTGAAGAAAGACCAAACCAACCTCTAGCCCTTCTGCAGCCTACTTCTTGAGAACCTGATTCATGAATGATATGACCAAAATGGTCAACCTGACTGACCCCGGGCAGCTTCTGATGATTAAGGACGACCTCCACCGGTTTTTTGGCACGTCAACAAGTAAAATAGATACATTTGGATTTGGATTTGGATGGATCTGGATTTGTTGAACAGGAAATATTATTCTTCTCAGCATACTTTTCACAAAGTTGCAATAGGTTTTGTAAACCATTTCTGGTGTAGGAGACAGCAGCAGAAAATCATCACAGTAGGACACAACACCAAGGAAGAGATCCTCAATACCAAATCTACTTTCTCTAGGCAACCCGTCCATGTACACTGTAAATAGGATAGGGAATAGACAGGATCCTGTCGTGTACCATTTAGTATACCATTTAGTGTAGCTGACCATTTAACACATGCTTTTTGAAGCTAATAATCAGCTAGTAAACCTCGAACAAAGATGGCTGGAATCCCTCTGTCAAGGATTTACCAAAGTGTTTAGAAAATAAACACTTATCAAAAGCTTTGCTACAGTCCAGCGCAGCAACATTGACAGATGTATGTTTCTGCTTGATGAAAGAAATTGTCTGCAGAGCCAGCCAGGTACACTGGTGGAAGATTTATATTTATATCCAAACTGAAGATCATCTGAGTATAGTTTGTCACAAAAATCAAGAATAAAGAATGAAAAACAAGAAATATAGATAGTAGTATGATGAGTATTACACACATATATGTCAAAAGGAGCTACCATTGCTGCTTCAGATTGAACTTTAGATTTTCCCCAAATAACTGGCTTCATCTTCCTGTGTTGTAGCTTTCCAGTTGCACTTTGCAGCTTTTTCTTCTTCTCCTTTTTCTGCACGATATGGAAAACATCATCATATAAGCTCTTGTAGCAACAAAAGCTGCACTAGAGTCTGCATAAACCTCCCTCGCTACGCTCGTGAGGTTTAGAACCCCAAAAAGGTCTTGGAGGCCCTCGGCTAAGTGGTTTTCCCCTCAATTTAATTATCCTCCCTTAATCTCCCGGTTAAGTAGTAGTTAATAGTTATAATTTCAGTCAAAAAAAATCTTAGCTCTTAAATTTTAGTTTTTTTCTAAGGTTTATTAAAGGAATAATTAAAGTGATCAAACCTGAGAAAGTAGTAACCTACTGTTCTTTGAAATCTAAGATTAATAAACACAACAGATCTGTTTCCTAAAATAAAATAAAAGTCGTTTAATCTGTTTAATATGTTTAATATGTAAGAAATTTAAGATTCTGTGCAATTCAGCAATGGTATGTATTAAAAAATTTTATCCTTTTTTAATATTTGTTACTAGGAAATTTATTGATTTTCCCCATAAATGTTTCTTCACCCAAACATTCCTTTAAAGATAAAAGGGAGAAAACAATTTCTCAAAAAACATGTAAGGTTTTCTAGGATATCACAATCCATACAATAACTGGAAAAAAAAAAAAAATCTTGGGTATCTCAAATTTTGTTATCATTATTAGCTAGAAAAAAAGATTGGAAGTACAGGGTGTCCACGAAACATGACAGTTGGTGAATAGTTTTAAATGTCTTCTTCCATAATTTGTTATGATGTTTGATACCTAAGAGAATAATAGAAAATTCATATGGACTGCCATGTTAAAGTAAAATTAATTTTAAAGTAAAATATATTTGAGTAAAAGATTTGTTTAACTAAATAAACCGCAAAAAAAGTCTTTAATATCTAATGCAGTAAATGGAAGAAGACATTCAAAACAGATTACCAACTGTCATGTTTCGTGGGACACCCTGTATTCCATACAAAATTGTTTGGTCTTATTTTGTTGAGTACATCTAAGTACATTTAAATAAGAAGAAAATAATTAAGATGTAAAATTGGATGTTAATAATAATCCAAACCTGTGCGCATGCTCATAAACTGAGTCCCCTTGTCCCAGTTGACCAGCACAGTTTGTGCTAGCTGTATACTCTCCAGGGTAAGGGGGTGAGAAGGGTGCCAGCTGTACAGTACTTCTAAAAATATTTACAGATTGCACAATGAACATCTTTTAGAAAAGGAACTGAGTTCATGCCACAAACTCATGGTTTAAACCTTGGATATTTCANAAATCAGGAGTTTTGAACGTCGAATTTGCGCTCAAACTCAGGATTTACAGATCTTTAAAAAGTGAAATATGTCTCAAATGAATCCTAAAGAAGTTTTCGACAACACTGCATATACTCAGTTCAATTACCTTACATAGCCGGTCACTCCCTTTAAAGGTCTACAACATTGGCTTGCATAGATATAGACGTTAGAAAATCTAATTGTGGCAAATCTTTGTTGTAAAAGTTAGAAGCAATGAAATCTTATATTCATTTAAATTCTATTCATTGTTCAAAACTGACGTCTCTTTAATGTTATTTAAATATGACTTTAGTAAATAACCAATTGAACTCAAAATTGCATTGTCACAAACTTCAGTTTCATTCCGTTTAAGCATTACTGCGTTTGAGTAAATTCTACATATATTTAATATGTTTAATTGAACTATTAAAATTTTTTACCCACCATAAATGTATTGTTTCAAATTAAATCATTAGTGTAATTCATATACTAACTTAATTTCAAATTGGGTCCTCTCAAGGTTGATCAATTTCATTGCTATTGTACATTCCTCAATTGAACAGTATAAAATAATAATAATACAACGCATAGATATTTTTTCAAATCCACTATTAATTTTTTGTAAAATTAAGTGCGATTAAACATTACTAAATTATATATCAGATATAAATTAATAAATATATGGACAAATTCTTGAGTTCGCCTTAAATGTTGCATTAAGATATGTTCAAATAATCAATACTTTAGTGCACATTTTGTAGCAATATAGCATTTTTTCGTCCAATTGTTTTAAAATATTTTTATTCGAACTAATTTAGAACATAATTGGGCATTATAAATACTCAACAATTTCAGTCTTTATAGATGAACTTCCAACAATGACAGTAAATCTGTACCTTTATTATTGTATTTCCAAAACTTCCAACAATGCAGTACATTTGTCCCTTTATTATTATGTATATAATAATTATGTCAATAATGGCAGTACATACATATCATATGTACCTGTATCATTATGTCCAAAACTTCCAACAATGACAGTACATGTTTGTGTATCAGAGTGTTAATNATTCAGTACAATATTCAGTACAATATTCAGTACAATATTCAGTACAATATTCAGTACAATATAAATATACAGGAAGTCCATCTTTAAGTGATTTCAGTGAAATCACATACAGAATGTTATTAATTTCAGAACTTCAGTTTCAGATCAGCACTTTAATAAAGAAAACTTAAACTCTAAAAATATTATGTTTACAAAACATTTTCCAGTACAAAGAGCGTACGTGGAACAAACATTTTTTGTTTGATTATTTTTTTTTTTGGCATACAAATATAACTTTTTTTTCATTTTGATTAAAGTCATTTTTAACATTTTTAAAGATTCTAGCTGGTACAAATTTAGGCACTGCAGCTAATCAAAAATAAAGACTTCAAAAAATGTTTCAGAATTAAATGTAATTGAGACTTAGCCACAATCTTTGTCGTTAACCTTGGATATTTCAAACTAAAAATACTGAAAGATCAAACAATCTAAGTTTGAAATATCAAAGCTTTACACCATGAGGTGGCAAAGAGATAGGAATTAGAAAATTTCAGTTTGGAGAAAAGACTCAATTTTTTTAGTGCTAAGTATTCATTGAAGACCTCTTTTGTAACCTCTTAAATTCTCACTGTAACCAACCATGTAACCTACCATGTAACCTACATGTAACCTACCATGTAACCTACCATGTAACCTACCATGTAACCTACCATGTAACTGTTCCTAAATTCAATATATGCTTGCTGAAGTGCTCGGCGTTACCTGTGCTTTTTAAAAGAAACTTTTTTAAATTTTGAAATTAAAAAATATATTTTTAAATTTTTGAACATTTTTTTTGAAAATGCGGGAAATGAAACAGAAAAATTCTGCGAAATAATATTTTCCTAAAAAAAGGCAGCTTGAAGTCTGAAGAGCAACGGATAAAAGCTAAAATCGTTATCATGAAAACTAAATGGGACACTATAAGGGACCTGGAAGCCCATATGAGGTTAAATCAACGAGTGTATAGAGTGATGATGTACGCTAATCCTTTACTAATTGTATAGGCCATATTTGTTTATTATAAGGAGATTCTGGCCTAATCTATATTATGTCAATATTAGTAAACAGTTGTAAGTAAGTGTATAGTACAGCTAACTGAGCACACATGGTAGGAAACTATCATCCCCCCTAATAAATAGCAAAGCTCTACCTGCACTCGAAACATAATGTCAGCCTCTGTGAATAACATACTTCTCCTAAATAGTTTTATGAAAACGTATTTGTTTTTAAAAAATAGATTACTACTTGTATATATGAAAAAATTAATATTTAAAACTTCCGATAAAGTGGAACTCAGAAACTGCTTTGCAGTGGAATCTTAACCAAAACTTTCTGAGAGAGATCATCATTGGTTTCATTGGGTGTTCCTTTCCTAGAGGTACATCTAAATCAACTTGAACCTAGCCGAATGCAGTTAAGGCTAGGAGGTCTTTTAATTTCTTTCTAAATTACTGCAAGACATTGATACATGTAATGCAGCTGACAAAGGGAAGTTCTCATTACAACAATGTCAGCAATAAACCTGCATAGATGGCCGATATAAAAAACAACTGGAAAAAATACAGAAACTCAAGAGCTGATATTGAAATACTACAAATTGCCTGATCAGCATCTTGAAACTGCATATTAACCATCCTGGGGGGGCGGGGGTATGCAGCTAATTGAAAGAGCAAAACAGGACAGCCAGAAAACAAGAAGATTGGAAAAATGATTATCTGCATTCTGCATTAAATACATGTATCAACTAATTTGTTGCGTAAAAAAATTAAAAATAAATAAATTGATAAAGTTTAAAATATTTAGAACTTCCAGACTTCATTGTAAAATATTTCTTTAATAGTAAAAGCCAAAACTAATTTTCAATGGCTTCTCAGATGAATTTTCATACAGTAGCCGGTGTTTATATCAAAACAATGAAGACGACTTTTTATTAAAGTTTTGACAGTTAACAAGCTTTTTATGAATTAAAAGTAAACAAAGAGACACTGTTATTTGATAGCTTTACTTTGTTTCCGTGATTATGAATATGCATGCTGTTTAAAAGCTTGTTTTAAATCAAGATATGATATACTAGCTAAAGTACCCGGCGTTGCCCGGGAATTTTTTGAAAATATTTTATCTAAAAAAATAGAATTTATGAAGAAAAAATATTTAGAATTTTTTTAGCCTATTTCACCCCGGCGTACTCAAGGGTTCCCTAAAAAAGGCAGTCCATGCGGTCCAGTCGTTTAGCTATAGCTAACATACAAATATATATATGAGTGAAAAGCTTTATTATATAGATAAGACGACGACGACTGTAAATTTCATAAATTTTGAAAAACAATAAACCTGATCTTTTAATCCTAAAAAACCGGTTTGGCACTGACACTTTGTGAAGAAATGATTCTCTTCCATTGATAAAGTAAGTATCTGGTCTCCAAATAAAATCCTAAAAAAATTATATTTTTCAGAAAATTTACAAAAAAATTACCCATTTCTTGCATTTTTTAATGATTAAATTTCTTTTAATGTTTTTTTTTTTCATGGGAGCGTTCAGATAAAATGAAAGGGGTTATAGGCTTATTAAAATTGAATTCAATATCTGTATCGCCACTAATTTTACTTGGAAGATTATTTGGCCGCTAGGTGTCTCTGCTCTCGATATTTCAGGGATTTGGAATTGGAAATAAAACAAAAGCCTTATAAAAGGAAATGTTAGGAGTCTAAAATAAGTTCGTTGTAAATTTTAACTTAGGACTTGAAGTATAATCTAGAGGAAACCGACCTAAATGGTGACCAATTTAATAATCGAGTAAATTTGAAAAATTTGCTTGGAAGGTGACACCTAGCGGCCACAAAATCGTCCTCAAAAGTGCCTGGTATATAAAAATATATAAGATTATGCTATTTAATTTACATAGGAATCCATCTAATTAACATTTACCTTCATGTTGTAGTTTAGGGATAACTCTTTAACTTTAGGTGTGTTATAAACCAATCTGAAAAAATGTTTCAAATTACGCGACGCTCAAACCATGCGGTCTAGGTGTCTATAGCCTGAACTTAAACTTACCTTTTTAAAATTTATTTGTTACAAAGAAACAATTAAAGATGTATGATAAAGATTGTCTCATGAGAACTTGTCAGACAACTTAGAGAACGTGATCTTTGACAGCATGCGTAAACTCCGCGGTTCGTTACACAATAACCGAGTCGATTTTCAAACTATAAACAGCTGTACAGTACACGTACTATATAAGGCAAAACGGGACGGTACACAGAATAAACCAGCCCCTTCTAGTCAAGGTTATAATGCAAGGAAAGTTTTTTCAGAGGTGTACGCATCTTTTGTACTGCAGTGCACTGTCTCTGGACGGTAATGTAAACACAAGACGGATGTCAAAGCCTGACATGGGATCCATCTTTCACATAAAAATCAATGAAATATTCTGGTCAAAGCAAACTATTATGTGAATTATCAAAATTTTCAAAATTTAATGCTTTTACTAAACGAACACTGATGCATCTATTCTTGTTTACAAATTCCGCCCAGAGAGAACTAATTTCAATATGCAACTCCAATTAACTTTCCATGCATTATAACCTTGCTTCTAGTGAAATTTTTGTGAATAAAGTCCTAAGGACAACATGTTATCAAGAATCAGTGATCATAACATTTTCATACAAACTGAACCTCGTGCAACTTTAGATTGATTCAAACTTTGTCAATAAAAGATGAAAAAAGATCTCCAAGTCGGCTCTCAACGGTTTTTTAGTGGTAGTTACCTTCTGTCCTTCCAGTATTGGCGGAAATAGCAGTTTAGATAAACTACTTCCTTCCTTTCATCCACGGGTCCAATTCTCCTGGGTAGTACACAGTTAACCATACCAAAGGATGTCGAGACTGTAAAGACGACCTTAAACTCTTGAAATATGACGTTTTCAAGGTTAAATTAAGCTTTCGGCCATAAATATAAATTTTCAATAATTGGGGATTGAAAGAAACAAATTTACAGATGCAGGGAATCCTAAATGTAAAGAAAAAATACTGTTTATAAAACCCAAGTGGGAAAAATTTCTTAAAAATAAATTAATATGGGGGTCAAAACTCATAAGGTCCTTCTTGAAGTATAACTGCATTCAGAAATATTTCAAAGGAATTCGTTAATAATAAAAGAAATCGTGGATAAAAAAACTGATTTCTGTATTTTTTTAATCAATTCCATGACGAGTCTTAACCTATTTTCCCCCATTTAATGTAGATTTTTGTTGGGTTATGGTATTTTGCTTATTAAAAATCTTGTATGCTATTTTTGACGAATTTTGATTAAAATGTGATGGAAAAGGTTCCAATACGGATTCACTTCATCTTACTTTTAGTTAGTTTTACGCGACGTAAACTTTAGAAAAATGTTTAATAATTATTTTATATTCATACTTTATTTAATAAAGTATGATGGCTATTCAATATTCCTCCAGAAAGATATAAATTAAAATTCACTTCAATGTTTCTTCAACAGTAAACAGCGGGCTCGATGCAATTATATTTATCTATAACTTAAATATAGAAAAATTGTCACCTGATGTGAATTGAAACATGAATATTTGTTTGTTCCTTCTCAAGCCCTGGCCTTTTTTTAGAATCTAGTTTTTGTTCATGTACAGAGTTTGTCGGCTTTGAATCACAGTAGTTGAACTGCATAGTACAATCTTTAATTCAGTCTGAAAGGGACTGTAAGCGTAGTTTCAAGTGAGAGATCAATGTTTTTGTTTCTTTAAACTGTATATTTTCAAATGCGGGTTTTCTGCAAAAGTGACTTGCGCATTTCTTGTTTACAAAAAGCAATTGGAGAAACTCACAGAAATAAACAATTTTCGAGTCATAAACACGTCGGTATCTTCCACAGATTAAAGTTTCAAGGGTATCTTTGTGAATCGGGCATTGAGATCTTTGCTACTTGAAATTACGCGTACAGTCCCATTAAAGGGACAGACCGGCTATGTAAGTTATAGTTATTAGTTTCTATAATCTCTCAATTATTCACAAAGATTTTCTGGAATTTTTATTGAAAAGACGACATTTGAAAAATTTGTAGAAATCTGCGAACAAATTCATAGAAAATAAGAAATTCAATATAATGATGAAAACAAAATAGTTGATTCTAACATTGATTTATTGACAAATTTCGTTTGAGAAAAAGGTTCCCAACCATCTACTTAGTTTACTGTATAATTTTTACTTTAATTTTTCGTCGTCGTAGTTTAATAATTTAAAAAAAACGTATCCACCCAAATTCATGATTATGAGCGTCAGCTATGCACTCAAACTCAGTAATTATACATCGTGGAAAAGTTTTATATGTCTCAAATGAATCCTAAAGAATTTGTCCACAGCACTGCATACTCAGTTTAACTACCTTAAATAGCCGGTCTTTCCCTTAAAGCAGTTTTTAAAAAATATACCCACAAAGAATCAGATTGTAATGACTGCTTGAATCTCTTCAAATATGACGATTCCAAGTTTAAATTGTCTTCTGCCTTGAATGTCGTCATTAAATGGCTCATTTAATGATTTAGCAAAGAAAGAGAGATGTTTAAGTTGTAGTAAACAGATATATATATATATATATATATATATATATAGTTGGAGTAAACAGATATATCATATATATATATATATATAGTTGGAGTAAACAGATATGATAAATTCAGTAAAATCGTCTATGACGTCTCGTCCTTTCTAGGTAACTCTGTATTTTGATGTTTTGTAAAACTAGTTTTCCTGATTTGCGGGTTGTAACCTGAAATATTCAATTCTTTTTCAATTTTACAATTTCACAAAAACAATATTATTCGAGGAAGAATTGAAGATTTTTCCTCTAATGATTTTTAGAATTGAAGGTTCTATAAATTTACAGAATAAAAACAAGTTTTTTTAGGATCTGGACCAGCAACATTAGATCTTCCTGAATCAAGATCTTTAAAAAAATCTCGGGGTGGGGTGGAGCTAGGAGCTCTTTCTCTTAAGTTGTCGACTAATGAGAGGTTCATCCTAATAAATGGTTAATTAAGTTTTTAAATTAAAATTTGCAAAAAAGAAGAATAAAAGTTTGAAAGGAATTGAGTCTTTGCCACCAACTTAAATTTTATAATCGATATATCTTTGCAACCTGATGGTGTATACCAGATATTTAAAACTTAGATTATTTCATCAAACAGAATAAATAGTTTGAAATAGCCAAGGTCTACGACATTGGGTTGCAAAAATATAGGGATTAGAAAATCAGAGTTTGTGGCAAAGGCTCAATTCCTTTTTTTGTACTAGAAAAGAGCAAATCTTGAAATAAACTAATGAGCTTGAATCCATTTTTTACAGGACGGATAAAGACAAATTTCAGATTCACAACGATACCCTTGAAACCATTATATGATCATTAATGTGGAAGATATTGTCGTTTTCCATACATGTTTAAACGTTTTTAATTCTGAAAATTCCTGCAGTAGTAATTTGGAAGTCACTTTGTAAAATAAATTTAAAAAATCAGTTCTTAAAATTATAAAAATCAATATCTAATTAATTTTTCAAGGGAACCGTTTTGAATTTGGCATTGCCATCTTTGCATGAATGGTCACCTAAGGGTCCCTTAGAGCAATATTTGATCTAATAAACTTGCCTTTAAGAAACATTTTGTCCAGTAGTTTTGAAATTCCTTTCTCATATTCTTCGTTGAACTTACGATGTCTTCCTTTCTTTATAGACGTATGCTTCCCTAAATTAGAAAAGAATATATTTGATTTTATAATTTTTTTCAAAATTTTCTCTTTTTCATCTCAAATATTGAAGAAAATTATTTTTAAATCATAAAAATGCAAGAAACATTAAAGTTACCCTTCATTCATTGGTATGCTTAAATAAGAAAGATAATGCAAGAAAAGAATGTATTTACATCAAATTAAAATGTGTAAAAAAAATCAAATCTTGTAATCTAAATAACTTAGATTGATTGCTAATTTCAGGATTATTTCTTTACCTTCTGTTTATTGTGCAACTCTCCAACTGTACCTGTACTTGTATATCAGGACACTCTGTACCTGTACTTGTATATCAGGACACTCTGTACCTGTACTTGTATCTCAGGACACTCTGTACCTGTACTTGTATATCAGGACACCCTGTACCTGTACTTTCTATATCAGGACACTTTGTACCTGTACTTGTATATCAGGACACTCTGTACCTGTACTTGTATATCAGGACACCCTGTACCTGTACTTGTATATCAGGCCACTCTGTACCTGTACTTGTATATCAGTACACTCTGTACCTGTACTTGTATCTCAGTACACCCTGTATCTTTACTTCAGTACACCCTGTACCTGAACTTGAATCTCAAGACACCCTGTACCTGTACTTGTATATCAGTACACCCTGTATACCTGCACTTGTATCTCCATCTATTTTGTTCTTATTTGATATTCTTAGTTTTCCTGTACTTTCTTCACAGTACCAAAGAACAAAAAGTAAAATTATGAACCTCATAATATTCAATTAATTTTGTTTAAAATATAATCAAATTTGCATTTAATTATGATTGCATGAAGTTTGCTATTAAATAAATAGAAACGGTATCTAACAAGTATCTGACACAACTATTGAAGAAAGTTTAGTTATCATGGATAAACTCAGCTTTTCCCAATATTTCCGTCTATTTACCTTTCTTTAGTCACATAAACAAAAATTTACAAAAAGAAATATAAATTATAAAAAAAAACTTTTTTTTACAATTATTACAACGTAGCTGTTTAAAAGAAAGAGTGCATGTTTATTGTTTATTGTTAAAACAAGGAAACAAATAACTTTGGAAAACTTAAAACAAACAGTATTGTTTACTGCATCCAGGGGGTTAACCTCCCCTCTTCCTTCTAGCTTTCAAAGAGGGGTGCCCCCTACACCCCCTCCCCCCAATATATCCAGTTTCATACAAGGTGTCCCATATTTTTTTTTTTGTGACAAAACATAACATTTATAAAGATTCAATCATTTTCGAAAATGTCTGAACCAAATATCAAGATTTGAATGCAGAAAAATCCCTTCAGCTTTTTAGATTGGCTGCCTTCCATATCTCATTATTAACTTTTATAGCATTTTTTTATTGTGCAAATAAACCTATGTATTGTATTTGTATCTTCAAAAAAAAACTTTTCAACTGCTGAATTGATCGGGCTAAATTTTGCCCTGAACAAAATGCAGACATTTCTTATTGAAAATGCTCAAACAATCCGCACTTGGGGGGAAGGATGAAAAATGTCGACTTGAAAATGAACAGTTAAAAGCTGCATTTGTTAGAAAGGGGGCGCGAAGCGTCATAAAAGCCTATTATATATATATATATATATACTATGAAAATGTCTAATATTACGTTGTTGTAGACTCTAGAAAGGTAAACTGGTTTAATTAATAAAATTATTTTTAATTTTTTTTTTTTACATATCACAATCTTTGTATTGGAAAAGAAAATGTAAAAAATCAATATTTAACTAAAAAACGAACTTTGTCCCATATCATTTTACTCCACATTTTAAATATAAATTTCGTAAAATAAAACTAATTATATGATATTTTTATCAAATATATTTTCATTCGTTTGATCAACAAGGATACATAAATAGATCTGTACAAGGGAACATTTAAAACATATCTGTGCTTACAATAATATTTAATTTTTATACCATTTATGGTGAACTCAAACACTTGAACTAAATCAAGCACTTGAAGCAAGACATTTTGGCAATATTGCACTGGTAAAATGGACACAGCAAGTTCTAAAATTTGTGTGCAAGATTCTGTATCCTTCTGGATTCTGCCACATAGAGCCCATGGTGTGCGGGTTATGTCTGCAGATATGGTCGTGTTCGAGTTATCCTCCGAACCTGGTCATCCTGCTAAATACTGCTGTTTCGGAAGGAAGATGTGAAGTGTGTAGGAGGGGGGGGGGGAAGGGGACTTTTGAAAGAAAAAAGAGAAGGAAGTTTAGTAGGCAACCTTGTATCCCCACTGCTCGACGGGCTCGACGACCTGCTCGACAATAGGAGCCTCAGCAATGGTCTGGACGGGGGGAAGGGCGTAGTTGGTGGCAACGGTGTGAACAGCGGGGGCGGCTACGGTGTGAACAGCAGGGGCAGCAGCATAAGCATAAGCGGGAGCAGCAGCGTAGGCAGGGGCAGCAGCATAAGCATAAGCGGGAGCAGCAGCGTAGGCAGGGGCAGCAGCATAAGTTGCAGCAAGGGGAGCGGTGTTGTAGCTAGCGTATGCAGCTCCGTAGTTCAGACCATGGGCGTATGCGAGCACTGGATCTGCGACGGCAGATGCAGAGGCAACAGCACAGGCGAGGACGACCTACAAACAAATGTATTAATAATAATTCAAATTCTAATTTATCTAACATTATTCTTCAGAAGGTTATTTTGCACAAGAAGAAGCTGTCCTTCAGATATTGTTAATGAGAACCCCATAAATATTTATGCACTGTATATTTGGTTGAGATTAGATTTTAATGATTATGCAAAGGGAGAAGGTATGAGTGGGACTGGATTTAGGAGGGAGAGGGGAGGGGGGGGGAGACAGCTAAATGCCAAGGTCGTAATTACTGAAATTAACAAAGCAGTATCAAATACCAGTTCTGAAGCTTTCAATGATTAAGAGTCACTTGTTATAAACAATTATAATTTTACACATTTTAAAAATTATGTTTTTCTCTTCAAACTTATTATATAGAACACTTTTTGTATGATATCATTCATGAAAAATCCGACCGTTAAAAAAATGTACAAAAACATAATGAAAAAATAATATATTGCAAGAAAAGATCAAACATAATTAAAGAAAATCCGCAAAAATGAAATGTGAAATGACTTAATTTTGTGTGAGTTTAAGAACTTACAAGTTTATACATGTTTAGCTGATGATTGGTTCGGAGGAACTGACGCAGATTTGTGGGATCCAACCATTCTTATACTAACCACGCGCCCGGCACAACCAGCTGCAAGCTACAGTCTACACCTTTCTTAATTCAGAATACTAAACCGGATCCTCCCAGATCTTGATCAGTCTTGTATTGAATAGTGTATACCATGCTCATTGCCCAATACTTTCAAATCATTAAGATATTTTCTCATCAAATTCTTTACTTAGCTCTATATTTCTTTCCTTCTACCCTATACTCCTTTCCTTCTATCCTATACTCCTTTCCTTCTACCCTATACTCCTTTCCTTCTATCCTTAACTCCTTTCCTTCTACCCTATACTCCTTTCCATTTATCCTATACTCCTTTCCATCTATCCTATACTCTTTTCCATTTATCTTATTCTCCTTTCCTTCTATCCTATACTCCTTTCCATTTATCTTATTCTCCTTTCCTTCTATCCTATACTCCTTTCCTTCTATCCTATTCTCCTTTCCTTCTACCCTATACTCCTTTCCTTCTATCCTATACTCCTTTCCATCTATCCTATACTCCTATCCTTCTATCCTATACTCCTTTCCTTCTATCCTATTCTCCTTTCCTTCTACCCTATACTCCTTTCCTTCTACCCTATACTCCTTTCCTTCTACCCTATACTCCTTTCCTTCTATCCTATACTCCTTTCCTTCTACCCTATACTCCTTTCCTTCTATCCTATACTCCTTTCCATCTATCCTATTCTGCTTTCCTTTTATTCTATTCTTCTTTCCATCTATCTTATACTCCTTTCCTTCTATCTTATACTCCTTTCCTTCTACCCTATACTCCTTTCCATTTATCTTATTCTCCTTTCCATCTATCCTATACTCCTTTCCATCTATCCTATTCTCCTTTCCACCTATTCTATGTGTCTTTCCTTCTATCCTATACTCCTTTCCATCTATCCTATTCTCCTTTCCATCTATCCTATTCTCCTTTCATTTTATTCTATTCTCCTTTCCATCTATCTTATACTCCTTTCCTTCTATCTTATACTCCTTTCCTTCTATCCTATTCTCCTTTCCTTTTATCCTATACTCCTTTCCTTTTATTCTATTCTCCTTTCCATCTATCTTATACTCCTTTCCTTCTATCTTATACTCCTTTCCTTCTACCCTATAATCCTTTCCATTTATCTTATTCTCTTTTCCATCTATCCTATACTCCTTTTCATCTATCCTATTCTCCTTTCCACCTATTCTATACGTCTTTCCTTCTATCCTATACTCCTTTCCATCTACCCTATTCTCCTTTCCATCTATCCTTTTCTCCTTTTCTTTTATTCTATTCTCCTTTCCATCTATCTTATACTCCTTTCCTTCTATCTTATACTCCTTTCCTTCTACCCTATACTCCTTTCCATTTATCTTATTCTCCTTTACATCTATCCTATACTCCTTTCCATCTATCCTATTCTCCTTTCCACCTATTCTATACGTCTTTCCTTCTACCCTATACTCCTTTCCATCTATCCTATTCTCCTTTCCATCTATCCTATTCTCCTTTCCTTTTATTCTATTCTCCTTTCCATCTATCTTATACTCCTTTCCTTCTATCCTATACTCCTTTCCTTCTATCCTATTCTCCTTTCCTTCTATCCTATACTTCTTTCCTTCTATCCTATACTTCTTTCCTTCTATCCTATACTGTTTTCCTTCTATCCTATTCTCCTTTCCTTCTATTCTATTGTTTCTTTTCTGAATCCTTCCTTTCCTTTAATATTTTACTCTTTTCCCTTTAAGCTTTATGCTTATTACATCAGGGGCGTATTACATGATTTTGTACTGGGGGCTTAACATTTTTTGACATTCCAGAAACACCCCTGAAAATCATAGTTTTCATTCTTCCAGGGGCCGGGGAGGGCTTAGCTTTCAAAGCCCCCCCCCCCCTTATGATTGCTGAAACCGTAGTAGTAAGTTAGTAACTAGAAAATCTGAACCTATTGTTTTGTATTAATGTTTACAGTTAAAACAGGGACCTGATAAGAAAACAACTAGATGACGGGGTGGGTCGTAAAATGCACAAAATTAATGTTTGGGTCTGGTTAACTTGATATTATAAGTATTTGTTCTTTTAGTACGTTTCTAGCAATCGTGTTTCGAGCACTTATATTATGATTATAGGACAGTTCTGAAGAGTTTTAAACAACCCTAGATTTTTACAAAGTTATATAATAATGGATTAAACAAAGAAAGCATTCAAATTGATTTGAAACACAAATTTAATGATAAATTATTTGATAAATAATATTATATGATTCGCTAAACGTATTCCATAAATATCTTGTCAAACATGTTTCCATCTTTAAGTATTAATTCTGAAAGCAGAAACATTNGGGGGGAGGAGCTGAGGGCGGGGTTCTACAAATATGAAAGACCAAATTTAGAGATTAGAGAGTAAGTATTAGTATGCGAGAAAGAAGACTATTGGAACTCAGCTTTAATTGGAAACTAAAGTGTATCTTTTAAAAGTCAACTTAGAATCTTTAAACAAAGCTAAGGACATTAAATGGTTCTAAGGAGTTCTCCAATCAAAATTTGAGACAAATCGTTCAAGGGGTTTAAGCGAAAACATTATAAAAACAATAAAAATCATAAGAATAAATAAAACCAAGAATAGAAATCAAAATTTACAATATGAGAAGGCATAACACGTAATAACGACAATAAAACATTTGGTGACATTTTCTGGTTTTATTGGCGGATTTCAAACATTTCTCTAAACATTTTTTGTTTATTTCGACCTGCTTCAAACCTTCCCTGGGGAAGGTTTGAAGTTATGGCGTTTTGACATTTTCTTGATATAAACCAACAGATGCACGCACCGTAACAAACCGACATATCTCTCTGACTGATCTCTAATATTACTTCACAAATCTATTTAACTAAAATGATTTCTTATCATTATTGAAAATAGGATGAAAAAAATAATCAAAACAGCCGAGAGCTATTTTCGAACTAGTTGCTTTATACTTGTACTGTTAAAATAATTATACCAATGTGTAATTGTAAACTCTTTCTGTACACAGATACATGTATTTTAATAGCAATAAACTTATCTTATCTTATCTTATCTTATCTTATCTTATCTTATCTTATCTTATCTTATCTTATCTTATCTTATCTTATCTTATCTTATCTTATGATGTGGTAAGAATGCCCAGAAAATATCACTGAGTAGTAATGACTTTCATTTTGAAATAAGCCTTCTGTATTTATCATAATAAAAGTACACTGTCATTGAAGCAACTTATAAACTAAGATTATCTCTATCAGATGCCTCCCCCCCCCTCATGTTATTATTTTTATCTGTTAATTAGTAATTTTTTCATGTGGAAACCAACTTACAATTACAAAACAGCTTGCTTATTTTTCACTCACTTAATGTCTGGTTTTTCAAAAATAAATTATTTTTAAAAAATAACAAAGTACATGTTCAATCTATATTTACCAATACGAGGTCTCCTCATGAACTATCGCTGGGCATTTATAGTTATTTAATAGTAAAAATAATTACTTCTTGTTTAAAAGTTTGAAAATTTGAAAATAAACAACAGATAGACCTATGTAACTGTGGAATATGAAGACGACTGTTAATAGTTTAATGAAAATGAAACTCCGCAATTATTGCGCAGTGTAAAGAAAATCATATATAACTATGTAAAGACATTTATAATAACATCAAATACACGTAAGATTATTAAAATGTCGTTATCCTATTTTAAGAAGTTTACAGGGTCCCCCTGTAGCCATAAAGCAATTTTTTAAGGGGGGGGGGGAAGGGTGAATGTGGCCCAACGTACACTAAAGAACATATACATAATGCAATGGATCAGTAAAATATTGACGTAGCATCAGTCATTTTTTTCTAATCTTCTTGCATTAACTTCATGTTTATTGGGACTTCCTTGTGAATATTGTGTTCTATCCTCAAGTAGTCCATATTTAAAGGTTATTTGCATGCATAAAACGAACTCATCGAGATTAATGGATTTTTTCTACACATGATCGAATGGGGTACATACTATAGGGAACCATTAAAATGGGGAAGATAAAGACGACATTTAATCAATCTCATGTGGGTTTGATGTTGTTATGCAGTAAATAGTTTTACCAGTATAGCTTGTAAATCAACTTTTTAAGGTCTGTATACACAACATATACTTACTGTTTATTGGAATTTTTAAAATCTTCTTATTCCACGTTCTCATGTTTCCCCCTGTTAATCTGTTAATCTCTTAAAAATATTTTAACTCCCCCCCCCCCCTTCTTAAAGGCGGGTTTAAATATATACCCTTGCCCATAGACATTCATATAATTTTAACCCAAGAAAAGGTTAGAATAAACCTTTTTTTCTCGCCAGTAAACTGAAATTCTTGTTTTAGAACTGGTCCTCATTTTATGAAAGGTCAAATTTTTCCTACAGCACCATCTACTTTTTCATCTGTCTCCTACAGCACCATCTACTTTTTCATGTGTCCTACAGCACCATCTACTTTGTCATGTGTCTCCTACAGCACCATCTACTTTGTCATCTGTCTCCTACGCACCATCTACTTTTTCATCTGTCTTCTACAGCACCATCTACTTTGTCATCTGTCTCCTACAGCACCATCTACTTTGTCATGTGTCTCCTACAGCACCATCTACTTTGTCATCTGTCTCCTACGCACCATCTACTTTGTCATCTGTCTCCTACAGGACCATCTAGTTTTTCATCTGTCTCATCTTTATCTTTATCTCTTCATTTAATTATCTGTCTGGCTCTGGCTGTCTGTTTATCTTTCTTTCTGTTAAGTTGTCTGTTTACTTATCTATCTATCTATCTATCTATCTATCTATCTATCTATCTATCTATCTATCTATCTATCTATCTATCTATCTATCTATCTATCTATCTATCTATCTATCTATCTATCTATCTATCTATCTATCTATCTATCTATCTATCCATCTATCTATCTATCTATCTATCTATCTATATTTTTACATCTCTATTGCTGCTTTGTTCCCCTAGGCATTCTCTCACCTTTCCCCAAAGGTTTGAATTCTTGTTGCTCAAGCATATTTTAATTTATCTGAAGAAATCATTTTTTGGTGTCATTCGTCAAAACCACATTTTAGGCGCGCACTTTGCACCTATTCCTCCTCGTATTAGATAAAACAACTTTATTTTGCAATTAAACATATTCACATGAAATTGAATTTAATGTTGTCCTAAGTTTTATTTTATTTTCATGTTCCCCCCCCCCCGGCCAAGATTTTTAGTGTTTGATATTAATTTAATGTTTAATAACAGATGAAGAGTTTTAAATACCAGCCGACAATATAATCGTTAATCTTCAACTAAGACATTTTTTTAATCAAGATATAACTGCTTACATTTGGTCAAAACTACAGTAATATCGAAATCATGAATATTTCCTTACACTGAGACGTAAAATAGAAATTGGTGGATTAATCTCATGTCACATGAAGGAATTTAGTCTTTGTCACAAACTCTGATTTTCTAATCCCTATCCTTGCAACCTAAAGTCGTAGACCTTAGATATTTTAAACTGTGAATTATTTTAGATCAAATCACATCAAAGGTTTACAACATCGGCTTGCGAAGATAAAGGGATTAGAAAATTTGAGTTTGTGGTAATGACTCAATTCCTTTGACCTTCTCCTTCTGTTTAGTTCAGTGTGCACCCACAGGTCTTTTAGTGTTAAATATCAACTCAATGTTTGATAACAGATGTAAGTTTTGAATACCAGCCAACAATATAATAGCTATCAATTTTTAAATAAGACATTTTGTTGATACAAATATTTCAAGATAAAAAGGCTACATTTGGTCAAATACCATGTGAGATATCACAATCAGGGCCATACATTGGAATTTGCCCCGGGGGGGGGGGGGCTCAATTTTGTTCTTTCCAGGAAGGAGGGGGTAGGCGGAGCCCCCATATATCCCCCCCCCTGTGTACGCCTCTGATCACACAAAACACTAAAGAACATATACATAATGCAATGGATCAGTAANCCTGTGTACGCCTCTGATCACACAAAACATGGGAATTGAGAGACGATTTACAGCGTCTTCTTTCTTCTTGATGTTTTTCTAGTGAACATTGCATAAAAAGCAGGCAGTTGCCTAAAATAGTTACGCGCGCTTGCCGCGCTGAATTACAAGAAAGAGAGAGATTAATATATATTTCAGGGTTAAGGAAGGTTAAGACACGTTCTGGGCCGAGTGTAACGGCTAGAACAGGCTAGGCGCCGAGCGCCGCGGTTGGAACAGGCTCTTTATCTGTCTTGTAATTCAACGCGGCATGTGCGTAACTCATATGGGCTTCTGCAAAAAAACACGCGGGATTTTCATTTTGTACCTTCAATAGTTACGAAGATAATGATAATGGTAAAATTACAGTTCAGATATCCATTAACTTTTTGGACATTGATACAATAGACCGTTCATTGAAAAGCTCAAAAAAAGTATGACTTTTTTATACACAATTTAAAGGCAATGACGAATTTTGAATTGGCTCTTAATTCCCATGTAATGGACCACCCTTTATTTATGTTGTCAAATAATTGTCATGTTTATTGACACTCTCTGTATTTGCTCGTTACTCGTATTTCAACAAATTGTAAAACTGAGTTGTCTCTAGCTCTTGAAGATGATGACCTTTTAACGAAACTAGGCGTGCTGAATCTTGAACAAAGCATTCATCATCTTTTATCTAATTTTTACAAATTCGTCATGGGAAGAATTATCTGAAATTGTGATAATGAACAAAGTGTCTTGAATCACATAGAGCCATAGAAAACATAGAAATTTGTTAAAATTAAAATTCAAATAAAGTGAATTACACATTACAATCTATATATAAATTTGGCTTGTCTGTCTGTTTGTTTGTCTGTTTGTTTCTATCCAATAAACGTCAAAACGGTTAAACCGATCGGGCCCAAATTTTTTGTGGGATCTCATGTTACCCCAGGGAAGGTTTATGAATGATGAAAATTAAAATAAAATTGTGTTGAAAAGCTTTCTAGTTTTGTAAAAAAATTTAAAATCTTGAAAATTCACAAATCTTTTTTACAAAATCCGCGAAATTTTTTTTTCTTTGTTTTTCAATGTTACATTAAGAACATGTTCACAATTGAGATAGAAGATGGGCGCGAAGCGCCCTAAAAGTCTAGTAATAATAAAATTATCATAAATTGCGTATTACATAATTTAATTTTTTTTTACTTTCAACATGGCTATGTGCTGCATGCAAGAAACCGATTTCTGTCTATAGCAGCAGTGAAATACAAGATAAATAAAACATGTATAATTAATAGTTTGATACTTTTTCAAATGTTTTCACGGGGTAAATACGATGTGTGTTCAAAAAATTTTGCGAAAAAAATAAAGGTACTTCTGGACGTCTCGGCCCTGTTATTCTTTTTCTAAGCTTACTGTATCCATCCCGGTTGTATTCTATCTACGGAGTTTATTCATAAAACTTTTTATGCCAATGTAATCCGCCTTTCCCGGAGATGGTTTAGCCACAGGGTGTCCCACGAAACATGACAGTTGATAAATAGTTTTGAATGTCGTCTTCCATACACTTTATTAGATATTAAAGGCTGTTTGCAGTTTATTTCGTTTAAAAAATCTTTTGCTCTAGTATATTTTACTTTGAAATTAATTTTACTATAATATGACTCCTAAATAATTCCTGAACCAGATGATGCCAACCACTCTCCATGCCGAAATTTTTCAGGGTGCCATTTCCACAGCTCCCCCGCCACATCTGTGATGGAACTACAGTGAGGACCATCAAGACGACTTTTAGACTTATTTTATTACCTTAAATAGTTCAGTAAACATGACTCAGCCATTTAGCAGTGTAAATAAACTCATTTAGCTTGATAAATGTGATGCTGTTTGCCATGAAAACATTTCATGCCCTCAAGCATTGCTGTAGTCTCGTTTTCCTATTCCACAGTTTTCTGGTTCTTACTGTACTAACATTTCTAATGTAAAAGTTGAACTTTGGAATTTGATCTGGAAAAAATCCCTGACAAGATGGAATACATGTGATCAGATCTTTAGTTTGAAAACAACCTTGACTTCATAAAGATAAAACAGTTAATATTAATAAATAAATTGGATTTTTCAACTAAATGTGGAAACTACTTTGCTTTATATTCTTTCAAGGAGCATGGTAATTCTTTTTCTTAAACTTTGTACAGGGAGACCCATACAAATGTGGAATATGAAGACGACATTGAAGCAATCGTATTTATCGTTTATAGCATAGTTATATTATTATAGAGAATTATTCACACAAAAAGTTATAAATACATATATTAATAGTTTATTCAAAACTAATAGTTTTAAAATTAATATATTAATGGAAAAGGTGAGTGCATCAGCAGTCTGCACATTTGATGAATTTATTGTTCATTAGATAAAACAGTCGTCTTCTATTCCACAGTTATATTAGTCTCACTGTACACAAATACTAAAAGTTTTTATGAACTCTAAGAAAATTTTAGATTCGATAAATGATACTTTTGTCATGTTTAAAACATGCTCTAACCCCAACTTAAAAAATTTCCTTTCTTTTCATAAAAAAAATTTAGATATATTTATAATAGTTATAGAAGCAGGGATAATTTAACCAATTTCTTCTTTAATTTATACACATACATTTTGTTTCGAGAAACATAATTCTTTTTCAAAATTAAGAGTTTTGTCATTTTTTTTGTATAAATAAAAAAGAAGACAGGAACCTTTATTTAAGTATATATCGGGTTTAAGATTTAGATCTTTGTTTTCAAAGAGTTCCAGCTCGTCATTAAATTCTCATTAATTGTGAGTCAACCTGTTTAAAAGAAGTTATAAACTGATGAGGGTCAACCCAGTTCGAAAATTTATTTTCAATAAAATGTGGAACTAACATCTATTTTATTTACGCTATAGAGGTTTGGTCCATCACCATCATCAAATTTAAATTCTGTTCAAAACTAAAAGGGCCTCTCCCCCCTTGGAATTTTATACAGGAAATCTGGTCATTATAATGTCAAACCATGACAAGCTGGTTAGGGGTGAGATTGGGGGAAATGTTTTTGGATTTTTGAAATCAAAATGAAAGGGCTGCTCTCTTAACTTGCGCTCCCAATTTTTCCAGGAGCGGGGGGGCATCCCCCTTCCCCACCCCCTAAATCCACTAGTGAGTCTAATAAATCTTTGTCACTTAAATAAACTGTGCAGGGGAAGACGACCATTAGTTCGGAGGCAAACTGTTGAAATGGACTCAGTCAAGTTTAACTTTATGCCAAGCTTGCAGAAGGAGAGGAATTATCAGGTGGACATTAATGATGATATTCAGAAAAACAATAATAATGATGATAATAATAATAATGATGACAATGATAACAATAACAATAATAATAATAATGATAATCATGTAATGATGATAATAATAACAATAATAATAATAATGTTAAAGAAACTACGGATATTTATATGCAATATATTTAATAATATATTTGTTATATGTATATATATTATATATTCATGTATGTTATTACATATACATGTTTGAAAAATATCTTCTGCCACAAACAATTTAATAAACAATTATACAATTAAAATATTGTATTTCTTGCATTAGAACAAAATTAAGGAATTGATAAGATTGCAAGAATTAGTTGAACTAGATTAGACTAGTTCTCTTACTTCTCCATAGGTTACAGTAGAGTAGTTGTTAAACTATCTGTACCTAGTAAAATTTCCATCTTTTTCTCGAAATTTAAACGTTTATTTTCTAAAATACGTTCTGTAATTTACAACATATTGCTCTGTATCCAGAAATCCTGCTAAGTAAAGCTGCAATTAACGTATATATCCTATATATCTATGGTATATATGTATGCAGTGTGTTACCAATGAGCACCATAATAGTTCATCCTCAATGTTCGTCCCTATTTTTGTTTCATTTTTAGTACATCCTCATAAATGAGTCCGTTTTACACCAGATAATAATGATAATTGTTGCTAGGTTATATGGAGAACAGAAAGTCGTAGATTGTTAACTGAAAGAGTGTTTGCTAGTTCTATTTATAATATATTTCTACAATATACAATTATATGTAGGGCTTGACCTTGAATGTGTTAAATATGCTTGAGGAGGAAGAAGTTTCTGTCAGAAAACAGACTTTGAACAATCAAAATTCCAGAGACGCAGGAAACATGATATTCAACTTTACAATATAAATATATGAAAGTTTAAATTCTTATTTTAATGTATTTTAAAAAGATTCTATTTAAACAACAGAAAAAAATACTAAAGTCAAGTTAGAAAAACAAACAAAAACTAGTTTAATCAAAACAAGTAAAAATGTGAGATAAAAAAATTGAATATAATTTCTATAACAGATTCTATCAATTTCCCCTCCCACTCTATTCCTGCTCTAAGTTTGTCCCCTGTACCACGGTTTCTACCTGCCCTCAGCTCCGTGGACTGTTCATCTGTTGAAATACCTCTAAAAGTCCAGCCAAAACCTGTCAGAAAATGGGTTTCAAAATGGAGTCAACACTGTAAGAAACCAAGGGGTCAGTTCCGTTATCCAGATGACTGTCATGCCTATATTGATTGTTGGGATGGACGAGGGAAGAAAATGAATTGTTTTCCAAGAAACCTTGTGTTCAATGAAGCTAAGGGTCAATGTGATTGGCCCTCCAGCACCCCTTGTGTTATGGGAGATATTGGTTCGGAAGAGAACAACAAGAAAGAAGTTGATGTTGATTTACCACATTGCTCGAGCTATACTGGACTGGGATACAAATGTGTCAACTTCTGGGAATGCTCGGATAAAAATGAAATCTTAGATGATTCAGAAGGAGCCTATGCAGAGTTTGGAATTGATGCCAGAATGGTTCCGCCACCAAAGAAAATTGTATTTAAAGGAATTTTTGACCCACTTTCTAAGAAATGTCCCAATACATTTGAAATCTGTTGCAAAGGAAAATGCAGTGACTTGGAAGAAAAGAGTTCTCCTTCTAAGCTTCCACCGGGAAGAACACTTGATACCTCACATTCAACTACTTTATGCCCTGCTGACTATACAGGGTTACGTCCAATACCTGGAATCTGCACTCAGTTTGCGGAATGCTACAAAGGAACTGCCATTATAAAAGATTGCCCTCCAGGCTTACATTTTTGTATTCATTCCCTAATGTGTGATTGGCCAAATAAAGTTGTTTGTGATCAATTAAGTTTCATATCAAAAGCAACTTCTTCAAATTCAAAACAGCTACAGAATGATGAACCAAGAATTTCAGGAAACTCTCCAGCTTTACGAATAGACATAGAGATGATGGCAAGAAAGGAATTTAACAAAAATACTGATTAAAAATCACTTTGACTTTGTATGAAATCTGAAAATCATTACTTTGTTTTAACAAAAATTACCAAACCAAGAATCCACCCATTACTAAAGTGGTGGGATGTTTAATATATTTATATTTATGTTATTTCTCTCCCATGGGATACTTCAGTAAAATATAATCCTACTCTGCAATAAATGGTTGATTTGCATTTTAAGCGGGAAGAAGGAGAACTCTACTTTTTAAAAAAGATTCCAAAAAATATTTGTTGAATTTACAGACTCAGATGATTCCAGCTCCTCCAAGTGGTCAAAATGCAAGATTGCGGGAGGGAAGAACACCTTCTGAAGGATACTTACAACTCTTTCATGACGATAAGTGGGGTTATGTTTGTGATAAAAGTGGTTGGACAATGGAAAAAGCAAATATTGTGTGTAAACAGCTTGGGTTTCATCGTGGTGTAAGAAAGACCACCCAGGGGTTTGTGCATGGCCAAGTTGATGAATCTAAAAAACTGACTGATCATGTAGAATGCACTGGTTCTGAAGAAAAGATTCAGCAATGTAAAGTATCATATTTTGTGTCTGGTAAGCCATGCAAACTTTCAGAAGATATTGTTAGCATAACATGCTTTCCAGACAGCTGGGCTAAATGTTACGAGAATGAAATTCCCTGGAAATCATCTTGTTACTCGTTCTTTCCCAATGCAAGCTCTTTCCATGAAGCCCAGGAACACTGTAAGTCAACAGGCAGAGTACTGGTTGAAGTAGATTCCCAAGCAGAAAATGATATGATATCTGAACTACTATTTCAGAATAGTAGAGTTACAGATATTATGAATGAGGTTTGGACTGGGGGAGTTGGATCAAATGTTGCCAGGAAGAATGTTTGGTTTTGGCATTCTGACACTGACAAACCCATGGAGTTTCGTAACTTTTGGAAAGGTTGGAGTGGGGGTGATAGATCTGCTACAGAAATTAAAGACAATTTTGCATATGGAATAAAAATGAGTCGGCAATTTCCACTGAGAACAGGTACTGCTAAAAAGAACCAGCTCACAGATTACTATTTTTGGAATTTAGAAAGTTTTGACACTAAACTATCCTATATATGTGAAAGACCACAAATTGACATTGGGTGTATGGAGGGGGAGGGTCTTGAATATTATGGAAATGCAAGAAGAACTCAATCTGGAGAATTCTGTAAGTCTTGGCAGTCCCCTGAAATCGGATTCTGGTTTGATCAAGCAGAAATTCAAAAGTTAGGACCTCTACAGAACAATAACTTCTGCAGAAATCCAGATGAAGCTGAAGTTCCATGGTGCTTAATAAAAGAGGGTCAGTATGAAGACTGTGACATACCCAAGTGTGAAACAGGCCCTATCTATCCTGTAAACAAGGCCAACTCTTGTGGGTCCGATCAATTCCAATGTCAACCTGGGGAATGCATATTTAGTGGATATGTTTGTGATGGTGAATATGATTGTAAGAACAGGATGGATGAAAATCCACACGCAGATTGTGAAAGCTATTCAGAACATTTTAAATCTGTCAGTGGTTCAAAATTGAATGTCAAAGAAATTGAAAGATGGACAAACAGAAACCTTGAGGCTTGTCTTAGGGGATGTGACCTTTCAAAAGAATTTATCTGCAGAGGTGTGAACTACAATATGAAGGAAAAATCTTGTATACTTCTTGATGAAAATGTTGGAATGTCTGGTGCTCTTGATCAGGATTTGGATTGGTCTTATTTTGAAAGAATTGAAACTCAAACATTATGTGATGAAAAACTAAGATGCAGCTCTGGAAAATGTTTCAACAAAACCCAACTTTGTGATGGAAAATTTGATTGTGAAGATAGGAAAGATGAAGAAGGTTGTGAACTCTCACCTAAACTTAAAATAAGACTTAGAGGGGGAAATGCACCTAATGAGGGAAGAGTTGAAATTAAAGCATTTGACTATGGATGGGGTGGAATATGTGATGATGGGTTTGGAATCAACAATGCACAAGTTATCTGCAAAGAAGCCGGATTTCCACTAGGAGCTCAAGAAGCAGTATTACATTCACGATGGGGGCCTGGCAATGAAATTCTATTAGACGAGTTGAAATGTAAAGGAACTGAAAATTCTATTCTTGAGTGTAAGTTTAACCCATGGAAAGAGCATGATTGCGCTCCAAAAGAGTATGCAGGAGTAGTTTGCAAAGTTAAGGATGAGACATGTTCTGAAGAAGAATGGAAATGTCAATCTGGAGAGTGTATAAATCTAGAATTTCTTTGTGACACAACCAGTGACTGTTCTGATGGAAGTGATGAACTTGCAGAGTATTGCCAGAAACATATTGAAGTTAGATTAGTTGATGGAAATAATGTAACATCTGGAAGAGTTGAAGTGATGTATAAGGGGGTTTGGGGAACTATTTGTGATGATAACTTTGACAAAGAGGAAGGCACTATTCTCTGTAAAATGCTGGGATTTCCTGGTGGTGTTAATATTCATAAAGAGGGAACTTTTGGCCCTGGAAGAGGTCCAATATGGATAAACAATATTCTATGCAATGGAAATGAAACCTCCTTAGATAAATGTCCCTCACCTCCTTGGGGTCCAAGCTACCAATGTAAACACCTGGAAGATGTTGGCATTGAATGTTTATTAAACTCTTTTCAAACAATAGAAACAAATAAGCCAAGTTCTTCTTTACAGCCAAATGATTTCCAATGTGGGGTAGCTGAGGTTGAATTTAAGTCAGGGCCTCCAATTGCTAAGGTTGCAGGAGGTCAAACTTCAGTACATGGATCACAGCCCTGGACCGCTAGTATTAGAGTGAGGGGAAATACAAGAAGCTTTCACTGGTGCGGAGCTGTTCTTATAGGTGAAGTGCATATACTTACAGCAGCACATTGTGTGGAAGATTACCCCAAAGATGTGTACGCAGTTAGAGTAGGAGATTGGGATCAAGATGCTCCAGATGTAGGAGAACAAGAGTTCAGTATTCAAACTGTAGATTTCCATCCTGACTTTAATGTCGGAGCATACCTCAATAATGATATTGCTGTTATCACCTTGAAACTACAAAATGGAAAAGGGGTACAGTTTAATGACAAGGTTGTACCAGCATGCTTACCATCCTCAAGTACAACATACAATGCAGGTATGGAGTGTTCTATTTCTGGTTGGGGATCTTTAGGACAAAACTCTGGTGGATATTCTAGAAGGTTGCAGTCAGCCTTAGTACCAATTTTACCTACCAGCGAGTGCTTGAAGAAACATGTTTACGGAGCTGACAAGCTGACAGGTGGCATGTTTTGTGCAGGTAAAAAAAACAAATTTTGCATGCATCCTAAGTTTCTTTCTTTGAATTTCTTTTTCGTCTTAATTGAAACAAATATCTTACATTCCTAAATAATTTGCCATTTTTGTGTATTTGTGAATATTCAGGCCTAAACAATGAATTTTATTCATTTCAGGTTTCCTTGAGGGTGGAATTGACAGTTGTCAGGGAGACAGCGGAGGACCAATGGTCTGTCAAAAGAGGAATAAGAATGAATTGCTGGGAATCATAAGGTATTATGTTATGGGGAGCTACATGTGAAATCAAAGCTGAGAATTGAAACAAAAGTTTTTTCATTTTTATTTGCATTAAAAGCATAAGGTAATACAGACAAACACTCACAATTATGTAGCCTGGACCCACCTAATCAGAATAGATTGTCTTGCAAGAAGGTCCAAAGTTATTTGAATTAGAATTTTTGTAAGCATTAGTAAATTTTGTTGGTAAAGTGCAGTTTTTCTGAAATTATACAGGGTGCAAAGTGAATAAATACTAAAGTGGACCAAACTCATAGTTGGATGACGACATTTTATGTCCCAAGTATTTAGAAATATATTTTGATTTTAAATCGTGAAAATTTCGAAGTTCTATCTGAAGACGACATTTACATGGGTCTTTAGTCTATTTTTTCTAGTCTTTACTTTCCAAATGAAATCTTTTCATGAAATTATTTCCAAACCAAATAAAACCTTATGGCCCAACCTGTCGTCGTTTCCTTAGTCTGTTCCACTTTAGTATTTATTCACTTTGTACAGGGTGTCCCATGAAACATGACAGTAAAGTGAAAGAGTTTGAATGTAATCTTTAATATTAGAAATAAAATGCAGAATTTGTCATTCTACTGTTTCATGTATGATTCTTGAAACATTAAACACATTTCAAAAATTTTGCCTTTTTTGAGCTTTCAATATTACCAGAGATATTAAGAATTTTGTTCAGATTTAAATCTATGAAATAAAATTCGAATTCTAAAGGAATATTTGGAAACACGAAAAAGGAAGACTAAAATTTGCCAGAATTAACCAGGGGTATATTGTGTTTATTATTTTGAGAATTTTTATTCTATAATGTTATAGTTTGACGAATGAATGCCACAAATTATTACAAAAGACAATATTCAAGTTGTCTCTCAAATGTCATGTTTTGTGGGACACCCTGTATGTTGTGTTTTGCTATGAATGACTTTATATGTGTTATGTTTGTAGTTGGGGATATGGGTGTGGACGACCAAATAAACCTGGAGTATATACCAGGGTAGCTAACTATGTAGACTGGATAAAGGTATTTAACTCACAGGATTTCCTATACATATGAACCTGATCGTTCCAGGATCTGAAAAAAATAGATTTTCTATTCACATGAACCTGGTCGTTCCATGATCTGAACAAATAAATTTTCTGCTCTATTGTTCACTCGTACCTAGTAAGGTATAAAATCAGTACAAAAAATGAAATATGAGTTCTTATAACAGCGCCTTCTACAATTTGTTCCACAGCTTGTTTATGTTGCAAATATATTTGCTTTACAGCAAAAAGTGCATTAAACATTTTCAAAAAAATTTTAATTTTTCCTTGGGGTCTCCAATGAAAATTTGAGGGTCTCCGTTGAAAATGTCACTCATTTTTTTCGTAGTTTAAAAAAATCCACACTTGATATGAATACTTATCGTTTATTGGCAAAATAGGAAACTAGTAATTGCAGTTTTTTCTGCAACCTTATTGGGGGGNGACGAAAAATAAAGTAAAAATTATACAGTAAACTAATTGGGGGATAAAATGCATGTTTTTTTCTCAACTCGGTGGGAGGTTGCGTGAATATTTTTTACTCCGGTCTTCTCCGATAGACCGGAGTGAGAAAAATATGCTTCTACTATCTTCCAGAATTCGACTGAACCTATGTATTTTGGAATACCCTTTGATAATTTCAACACAGTTATAAATGATAGAGTTTATGTGTACTTGAACGTACAAGCAGAATGATGTAGATTTTAAAAAATGTCTCACATTAAGGCGCTGTATCTCCTTGTACATCTACGTAACTACATGTACGTCATGTAGTTTGTGACTCAGTGCCCTCAACGGAGGAATATTAATAAAAATTCACAAGTAGCAGTATCTTACATTGTAATTTCCTGACCTGTATTCATTCGCGCAATATCATGAAATACTCTGACTTAAATTTCGTATTCATGCGAAATTTTGTGCAAAAAAATAACTTATTTCGAATGAATGCGCAATTTTGTGCAAAACTGGTTTCGTATTGTTACGAAAATGATGCTGAATTTCGTGCAAAAAAAGTCATTTCGTCCAAAACCAGGAAACTGTTGCGTAAGAGAATTGACTGTTTGGTGGAAACCCTAGGCTTTACTTAGAAATGTCGCAAAACCTTTGCTCTAGACTTCACCTCACTAACACGCTTATACTTGTTTGTACGTTTAGAACTGTAAAGCTCATGTTTTTATCTTAAGTAAGTAATAAAGTAATTTGCAAAAATTTTACAGATTTTCATATCCCCCCCCCCCATCCTTTATAAATGACATAATTTAAATTCTATATTTTGCAGAGTATTACTGGGAGCTGAGGAATGATGGGAGAAAGAAAAATTGGATAATTTAACGCAGAATCCATTTAGAATATCTTTATACAATGGAATTAATAAAAATGTTTAATAGCAAGACGACATTTAAGCAATCTTATGTACAGTTTGATGTTTACAGAGAGCAAATAGTTTTACCAGAACTTATGTGAAAGAGGTCTATGTACACTAGACAATTGCTATGTTTCATCTTTATGGCACTATTTGAAATCATAACTTAAGTCTAAAAGTCGTCTTCCTATTCCACAGTTTTATAAGTCTCACATTTAAAGCATATAATTCTGGCTTTAAATTCTGACATTTATGGATAATACAAATCTACAACAGTACTGTTTATGAACTATTAAAATTATCTGTTTTAATGGCATGATATAATAATATTGTTATAAACATTATTTATTTTTTATTTCCAAATCACTAAACACCGAAAAGGTTTTAAAGAAATTGAAATTCCATATATCATCAAACTATTTCGATTTATTAATTAACGCTTAACAATCTTATATTTAATATTTAATTATAGTGTATTAAGTTTGTCCAAATAAACATAACCATTTTGTGACGAATTCTTAAATTTTTGGTGAATTATTTTAAAATGAATATATTAGATATAAAAATACCCTTTGTTGATTATATCACTGTATTCATAAATCTCCGCATCTCTTATACAGGGTGTCCCACGAAACATGACAGTTGGTGAATAGGTGAATAGTTTAAAATGTCCTCTTCTATAATTAAATAAGTTGTTTAATACTAAAATGACTAATAATATTTTTTATATGACAGTTATACTATAGTAAAATTGATTTCACAGTAAAATATACATGAGTTAAACTTTTTTTTAAATAGACTGCAAATAGTCTTTAAAATCTATTACAGTATAAGGAAGAAGACATTCACCAACTGTCATGCTTCGTGGGACACCCTGTATCTAAATTGTAAATATTTTTCAACGAAATTGCTTCAATTTTAAAGCACAAAGATTTTTTATTTCTGAAGAGAGGAATTAAACCCAGCTTATTCGCCGATTTGCCTTTGGGACAGAATAAAGTCTCTGCTGAAGAAGTTCGACTTTCACATGGACAGGATTTGAAAAGTATTATAAAGGAATAATATCAAACTTCTTTTCAACTCTTCCACTTTTCAGTTTTACTATCATATCCATATTTCTAAAGAACGTTGTGTACTTTAAATCTTGGTCTCTTCACTGAGGAAGAGGGGTAGGGGGGGGATATAAACTTTTGAAAACCTTTAAATATCATTATCTATTCTGAGGCCGAATTTAAAGAATTTGAGCCGCGGCTTGAATTTGAGACGCGGCTCAAATTTGGTTGGTTCCACTTAAAATTATATTTAATGTTTCAAGATTTAAGTTACGTTTCTTCATTCCCTTAAAGACAAATTATATGTATCACAAAATTCTTTGTAATAGGCAAAATTATGTGTAGGGTAAAAAAAGTGAGGACACATAATATGTAGGACAAAATATATTGAGAACAAATAACGTACAAAGAAAAACAATGTGTACTACAAAAAAGTTTAGGACTGAGATAGTGAAAGACAAATATTCTGCTGAAGGACAAATAATGTTAAAGACAAATATTCTGCTGCAGGACAAATATTCTGCTGCAGGACAAATAATGTTGAGGACAAATATTCTGCTGAAGGACAAATAATGTTGAGGACAAATATTCTGCTGCAGGACAAATAATACTAAGGACAAATATTCTGCTGCAGGACAAATAATGTTGAGGACAAATATTCTGATGCAGGACAAATAATGTTGAGGACAAATATTCTGCTACAGGACAAATAATGTTGAGGACAAATATTCTACTGCAGGACAAATAATATTGAGGACAAATATTCTGCTGCAGGACAAATAATATTGAGGACAAATATTCTGCTGCAGGACAAATAATATTGAGGACAAATATTCTGCTGCAGGACAAATAATGTTGAGGACAAATATTCTGCTGCAGGACAAATAATATTGAGGACAAATATTCTACTGCAGGACAAATATTCTGCTGCAGAACAAATAATATTAAAGACAAATATTCTGCTGAAGGACAAATAATATTGAGCACAAATATTCTACTGTAGGACAAATAATATGGAGGACAAATATTCTGCTGCAGGACAAATATTCTGCTGCAAGGACAAATATTCTGCTGGAGGACGAATAATATTAAGGAAAAATATTCTGCTGCAGGACGAATAATATTGAGGACAAATAACGTAAAATAAAATACTGTGCAAGACAAAAAGTGTGCAGAACAAAAAATGTGTAGGACAAATAATGTTTATGACAAATAATATTTATGACAAATAATATTTACGACAAATAATGTTGAAGGCAAAAAATGTGTCTTACTACTGGAGGACAAATTAACCTGCAATGTGCAGATGACAAACAATGTAACGGCAAATAAACTTGTTTTAAACCTCTCGGCTTTATGCGCTTAGCTCCCTTCGTTTCTATTGTCATGTATAAGAGCAGCTTTGTCTAAAAATAGTATTTTAGTATTTTTAAACGGTTTTTCTTCGTTTTTGTTGCACATGATTAATTTGAAACTGTCATGAAACAGTTTTTTCTTCCTAAGTATGGTTAGATTTTGGTACAGGGGGGGGGACGATGGTTGAAGTAATAAGCGAGGAAAGGAACTCAGTTTTTGTCACAAACTCAGATTTTCTAAACCCAATATTTCTGCAATTGAATAGTGTAAAACTTTGATATTTCAAACTCAAATTATTTGAACTACCAGAATACATAGCTTGAAATATCTAAGGTCTACGACATTGGGTTGCAAAGTTATAACGATAGGAAAATTTGAGTTTGTGGCAAAGACTCAATTCCTTTATATATCTAAGCATACATACACATACACAAACAATAGTTTTTGAAATATTTTTATAATTATGATATAAATGACATTGATAAAAATATGATAATGAAAATTTTAGAATGTAATTTGTTCTGCAATATATTTAAACCATGAAATAGTAAATGTAATTTTGGCTTGTTAGTCAGCATACAATAAACGTGAAACAGCTGAACCGATTAGTTACTCAAACGACCCCAGGGACGATTAAAAGTAACAATCTCTGCCGGAAAAAAGTTGATTCTTTAAAAAATGTAGAAATCTAACAATGTTTCAAAAAAGTCCGGAATATTTTGAGAAAAAAATGACCTCTTGCAAAACAACACTTTAACGCTTAAATTGTTGGTAGTTTGTCCGCTTGATTTCGAGTTAAGCCGATGAATTCCTTAACAAAAGTTCTCAACTCTGGTAAATGCTACAAAGCTCCGGTCTATGGGAAGAGAAGAAAGGTTCTTGAAGGATACCGAATGGTATTATAATCTGGTTTAGAACTGTAGCGTAGAAAGCGTTTATCTTCTGCGGAGAGGAAATCCAGAAATGCAGAGATACGTTCTAGATTCTTCATACTTAAGTTCTGAACCTTACATCGTATACATGGGTATGACTATGGGCATGTAGCATACGAATCATGTTATCATGTTTCATGTAACGTATACTTGGTATCCTAGTACACATGGTGTCCTAGTACACATGGTGTCTTAGTTTACATGGTGTCCTAGTACACATGGTGTCTTAGTATAAATGGTGTCCAAGTACACTTGATGTCCTAGTACACATGGTGTCCTAGTACACATGGTGTTCTAGTACACATGGTGTCCTAGTACACATGGTGTCCTAGTTCACATGGTGTCCTAGTACACATGGTGTCTTAGTACACATGGTGTCCTAGTACACATGGTGTCTTAGTATACATGATGTCCTAGTACACATGGTGTTCTAGTACACATGGTGTCCGAGTACACATGTTGTCCTAGTACGTATGGTGTCCTAGTACACGTGGTGTCCTAATATACATGGTGTCCTAGTACACATGGAGTCCTAATATACATGGTGTCCTAGTACACATGGTGTCCTCGTATACATGGTGTCCTATTATACATGGTGTCCTAGTATACATAGTGTCCTAATATACATGGTGTCCTAGTATTCATGGATTCCTAGTGTACATGGTGTCTTAGTATACATGGTGTCCTCGTATACATGGTTTCCTAGAATACATGGGTGTCCTAGTATACATGGTGTCCAAGTATACATGGTGTCCTAATATACATGGTGTCCTAGTACACATGGTGTCCTAGTATACATGGTGTCCTAGTAAACATGGTGTCCTAGAATGCAAGGGTGTCCTAGTATACATGGTGTCCTAGTACACATGGTGTCCTAGTATTCATGGATTCCTAGTATACATGGTGTCCTAGTATACATGGTGTCCTAGTTTACATAGTGTCCTAGTATACATGATGCATGTGTCCTATAGTATACCTGGTGTCCTAGCCATGCAAGGAAACCTATATAAATATACATAGGTATCCTATATATATATGCATGGTATCCTATAGATATACATGGTATCCTAGTGGAATAAGTGTACAAAATATATAGAATATACTGTATACAACATATAGAATTATATCATATAAATGCTGTCCTGGAATACAGGGTTTCCTATTATGCATTGGGGGTTACGTATGCTCTATTTACAGTATGTCAAATTATAAATAAAGTCCTCAAATATTGAATACTAGAAAAATGTAGAATCATTGTCTTAATAATGTTATGTGTTAAATATACTAATTTCAGGCCTCCTCCTGCCAATTTAAATATTACTTACCATGGTTTAATAAAGTAAAGTGCATTGTTTGAAGAATAGATAATTGTAGTTCTAAAAAGTTTAGAAACTCCTCAAGGATGTACATTAAAAAAGGTTGTCACTTACATCTCAATATTGGTATACAATCTTGTGAATTAATATTTCCTTAATATTTGGAACAATGAAACTAGTCCATGCAAAGAAATCGGATTTAAAAATTATTTAGTAGTTGTTTTTGGACCTGGCATTGCAAATTGGAGCTGCCAGCTAGCTGGACAGTAGAAATTAAATAGACTCTTTCAATCTTCTAAACTCTACAAAGGTTCTTATTTCCATCTTTTCTTTTTATAATGTTTCTCTTTAGAGTTACGTTATCTATAGTTCGTTTTTTATGCTTCAAGTTACTTGATTTTCAGGATTCAGTCACTAAGATAAGGTACAGCTTATCCATACATTTAAAGAGAGTGACCGGCTATGTATGGTAGTTGAACTGAGTATGCAGTGTTGTGGACAAATTCTTTAGGATTCATTTGAGACATAAAAAACTTTTTAAAGCTCTGTAAATCTTATAGCCTCTATAGCCTGCCCTAAAAACATAATGTTAATTAGTTTTAATCATTTAAATTGATCAATCTAAAATTTTGGTGCAAGTTATATAAAAGACGCCAATGTCTAAATAGACCTGAGCCCGCGGTTTAAAGGGACAGACCGGCTATGTAAGATAGTTGAACTCAGTATGCAGTATTGTGGACAAATACTTTAGGATTCATTTGAGAAATATAAAACTATTCTATGACGTATATTTACTTAGTTTGATCGCAAAGTCGACTTTCAAAATCATCTGTTTGGAGTAGATTTTTTAATTATTAAATATCGACGACGAAAAATAAAGTAAAAATTATACAGTAAACTAATTAGACGTTTAAGGATTTATTACTCAAAAGAATTTTGTCAATAAATCAATGTTAGAATCAATTGAATTTCTTATTTGATATGAATTATTTCGTAGATTTCTACTGATTCTTCAAATGCCGTCTTTTCAATAAAAATTCCAGAAAATCTTCAGAAAATCTTTGTGAATAATGAAAGATTATAGAAACTATAGTACTTAAAAAATATTACGTATTTTTGATGCTAGACTTAATTTTTATTGTCTCAACCTGTTCCCAGGAGTTAATCTAGCATGACCCAAGGATACGACAAAAATATTATCAGGGGCACTTTCCCGGTTCCCCGGGTCCCTGATTATCAAATTTGACTGAGTATTGCATCTTAAAGTTGGTTAATGAGTGATTTTAAGATGGATTTAGTATAATGAGTCAGTAATTGAATAATCATTGGACTTTGTGATATTTCAGTGAAATTTGTCAAAAATTTCATTGTAAAATAGTTTAAGAATTCAACACACAAAATATTAATCTTAAGTAGAATTGAAGAAATGGTTTAAGTTGTGCTTTTTTGAGTGACGCGGCTGCATTTTTTAAAATCAGACTTTAAAGGCCCTAAATATACCATTTAAAAAAGTACTTTTGTCCGGAAGAGTAAAATGTGGTGGTACGGAAGGGGTAATAGTGGTGGCTCATGGCTGCCGGAAGAGAAAAAAGCTAATGTGGCACGGAAGGGGAAATAGTGATTACGATTTTCGGGACTAATCAGAAATTTAAGAAAAAAGAATCATTTTGAAAAATTGAATAAGGCTAATATAAGGAGTTTCTTGCGGAAATTACTAGTTTTTTCGAGTATTAAGGTTTTATTTTAGCGTTAAAGATTGGAGATAATCTATTATGATTTGGGACACTCTGTATAATATGTAAAATAAAAACTACATTTTGTACACTTGTACTCCAATTGTACACTCAATCCACTGTCTAGCCAACCTACATTGCACTTGACAGTTGAAACTTGGTACTTGTACGTGGACTGTGGAGTGGAAGGAAAATCATGGTATTTTACATGAATGTGAAGTTACCCGAGGATACTAGGACTTTGGATTTTTATACTAGACAATCAAATTCCAGTGATGAAGATTTGACTATATCCTCTACAGTACGATTAACCCTGAAGTGTCCTNAAAAATAATAGTTTTTATTTAAGTATAACATAAACATAGTTTTACTCTAAGGGAAAAAGATGCAATTTTTAAAAAAAAATTTTATATTTTAGAAAAGCTACTCTGCAAAACTTTGAAAAAATATTGTCTTTGTTTATATTCTAATTTCTAATTTATAAAATTTTCTTGCCGTCAATGTAAGCTAGTTATATATGTTAATTTCACTATATTTAAAGAGAAATGTCTTACTTTTTAAAATTTAGTTGATAATTTTAACATTTTATTCCCGCCACCGTTTAAAATTAGCTAAATATACAAAATGCAAAAAAATAAAGATTTCCAACTTTAAAATTGAATGCCAACATAAAAAGGCGATTTATTTAATTTAGTATTTTTGAAATTCTTTTTGGCATTGATATATTATTAGAAGTTATAATTATTAAAATGGTTATTGGTCTTATGAGAAATCATCCATAAAATATTCCAAAAATATTAATAAAATTTAATAGAATTATTAAATGCTTTTAATTTTCTGAACTATTAAGTTCTCTGCATGGTTTTCTGGTCTCTATTTACCCTGGGTAAGTCAGAAAACACAGGGTGGACCCAGTGTTTTCATTTCTTGACACTGGTGTAAATCTACCCAGTGTAAACTGTACGTTGTTGTTGTTTGAACCAGTGTAATTCATGACTATTAAATCCGAATTTAGGTAAACACCAGTGTAAATGACAGTTTACACTGGTGTAAATCCTTTATTAGAACGGCCTTAATTTACGCAGGTTTAATGTTCATTATATTCTACCCAAAACAGCAACACCTTCAAAATGCATCCCTTGGTCTGTAAGTCGTAGGTTGTAATTCTGAAGTTGATATTATCCATATATTATGTTTCAGTGATGAAGATTTGACTGTATCGAAAGTACAATTATCCCTGAAGTGTCCTAACTCGATGAAGAGGCTAGAGACCCGGCCCTGTTAGAACGGCAAAGTAAGATTTTAAGATTCAAATTTCGTTTTGTGTATAAAAATACGTTGTTTTTATTCAAATTTATTGATTTAAAACAGAATGTTGTGTAGTTTCAGCCGATTCGATCTATAATTTCCTGGTACAGTATTTTTGGACCCCTAACTTCCAACTAACTCCATTTAACTTGGTTTTGACGATATATGACAAAACATTTGTTAGGATTTTTTGTTTTTTTTTGTAAAATATTCTGAAAAAGGTGAAAAATCGCGTCTTTTTTACGCCTTTTGTCAGCTCCTTCTGAGAGGTTGGTAATTTGTTTTTCAAATACAACAGGTGTTTTTTTATCCCAACTTCTCATTGCATACTTCTCATCTCAGTGGTTGTTTGGGGTCTGTTCTATGAGAACGATTTTTGGACCTCGTCCCCCCCCCCCATCCCCTCATTTGAATTTTTTTACATGATCATCACTATTAAATTGTTTTTCTATTTTGTATTATTTTTTATTTTGTCTAAGCGCTGCGGTTAGCAGCCAAGGGGTGGGGCGAGCACTGTGGCAAGGGCAGGTCAAGGGACCTAGCGCTAGGGTCAAATGTCTAACTTTGACCATATGTGTAAACACAGTGCTTTTTGTAATGCATCTCACATGCAACTCTTGGGTCTGTCCGTCTGTCCTAGAGAACGCTCTTTGGACCCCGCCCCTGTCCACGAGCAATATTTTTAAAAATAATGAATAGTATTTATTTTGTATTTTTTTAGGGTTTGGTTAGGTTATGCCTATTTCTGGGCCGAGCGCTGCGGCTAGGACAGGCTATGGGGCTGTGCGCTGCGGCCACGTGTCCAACTTTGATCATACGTTACAAATTTGCTCTATGTAGAGAAATTGTTAGAAGGGGGGGGGGTCCAAAAAGCGTTCTGTAGGAAATTATCCCACTCTGACTCTTGGGCATAGTTTTTTAGTTGAAGACTGGCCCCTGAACCTGTCCTAGCCGTGATGCACAGTCTCATAACAAATTCTATCTGCAGTGCCCGACTTCCTGAGCCAGTCCTTGCTGCAGCGCTCTGCTCATAAAATGTCGTAACCTATCTTTGTAAATGAAAGATAACAAAATAATATTTATCATGTTGTTAATACTGTGAATCGAGGTCATTATTGAAACTGCATGAGTGACGGAGCGCAGAGCAGCGCAGGACCTCGACAAATTAAATTATAGATTAAAATCCTAGATCTAATAAAATAAATCCGTTCTAATAAAGAAATGCAATACACTGGTGTAAACCCTAAGGGTATATTTACACTGGTGTATTTGTGTCCCCCGGTGTAACCTAACCAAGGATTTAATAATCATTCCTGAACCCTGGGTCAGCTGAATTTACACCAGTGTCGCCATACTCACGGTTTTATTAATCATCCTTATGTTACCCTGGTGTAAATACGTATTTTCAGCAGCTGAGACAGCTTAAGACCCTTTTGCGCATGTGTAAAATAACTTAACGAATAAGTATTGGGGATTGAAGTCGTCTTTGCTGGTTAGACTGGAAACAAATGAAAAAAAGGATGAAGAAAAACCAAACAAACAAACAAAAATAGAAATTTCTTACTTCAATTAAAACAGGCAAAAATAAAAATACAAATCATTCTACAAAATTCAATTTCTAATGCATATAACATAAATATTTTTTATAGTGGTTCCCCTCCCCCAGGGGCGCGTAAATAAGGATTCTGTAGGGGGGGGGGGGAA